ATCAAGATGTCAATAAAATAGAACCTGATAACATGAAGGAGGTTATCATCCAAAAACACAACATTTTCCAAGTATTTTAGCTTAGCTTTTAGTGCAAATATCTTGGTACAACTGAACAACTGAAAGTAATTGTTCTGAAAAAAAAATATTTTTTATGTCAGAAGTTCCTTGATATTGATTAAAAAAAGTACTGGTTCCACAGGCAGATTGTTTTCTTCTAACTGGTACTTTTGATTATCAGCACTGAGTCCCTGCAGCCTGTGTTTGAGCTGTTCTGTGTGTTTCTACACGTTGTATTCTACATTTTTCATTATGATTTCAGAGCGGATACATTTTCTCAGAAATGACCAGGATTATTCAAGCTCCATTCTGATAAACCACACCTTATTCTTCAAAGCTGTTCACTATTTTTAACACAACTACACATCTACTTACTAAACACTCCAGACTATATAAAGGATTTTTTTGTTAAAAATAATTGTACACAATATATATATATTGTCTTTATAGAACAAATACACATTCTTCTTGTGTCAAACCCTTTTCTACATACAAATCAATGAAATAAATTAGAATATTATTGAGAAATTTATTTTACTGAAACATTTATTTTTATTTTTTTTTTGCAGTAGTGGCCTTTATTGAGCAATTGTTTGACAGGAAAAAGGATGAAGAGAGAAGGGGAAGACATGCAGCAAGCGGACAAAGATCAAGAACTGAACCGAGATAATTATGATGCCTGTTAATTATGATGATTTTTCACTTACATCTATTAAAAACACATTTAAGATTATAATATTAAAAATTAAGCTCTATTCAAGTCAATTTATAGTAAAAACAGTAAAATCTCTTCAGCTCAGGTTTTATCTGTGTTGTATGCAGTGCATAATAGCATAATAATAAAATGAACAATATATGCCTCCACTCACTCAGGCAACAGATGCTTCACTCTCTATCACAGTAAACAACTTTTATTAAGGTTTCTTAATTTCTCATGAATGTCTTTAGCAATTTCAAACTAACAAGAAAGTTTGATCAATGTTACAGAAAACTGAGTCCAGCCTTCCTCAGAGGGTCTTTATGGTTAATCAGGAACACATTTATTTACATAAAACTGGTTCTCTTCCTCTACCTGATCTAATGTCTTGTCTTTATTTTACTCCTTTATTGACTAAAACATCATCTTTATTTCTTCAGAGTCATTTTGTTGTCTGCTGCAACGTCTATGGCGC